AACGGTTCCATCATAACAAACCTGTACGGCAAAGAATTGTGAAATATTATGCAACATGCCCAGGTTTCAAGAAGACCGAACGTGGAAACTATTACGCGATGGTCGGATAAGGTTTGTCGCAAATAATATCGAAACAAAGGGAAAGCAAGGTTCTCCATTCAGTCCGAACCTTATAGAGTAGCGGTTACAATCTAATAGCATGAAATGAACAAATTTTTTATCTCATCACAATGTAGTTCCTTTAATCGGTCCCGATCTTTGCATTTGCCACTCACTTTTTGTCACCTACTCACCCACTACCGTACTATTGAATGAGACATATACACAGGCAGTTTATATCGTAAGTATCAAAGCCGTTAAGATTTAATTGCTAAGTGTCTCTTGCTCTTTATGATCTCTTATCAACTCTTCTCAATTGTTATACTTGAGCCTTGTTGTTCTTGTACTTATACTTGTTATGCTTACTCTCACCGCGTATCTATTCCCATCACATCCTACATCACCTGTCAAGATGCCAAAATTCTACGCGGAGTTACCGATCTAACAGCTCTCGACGTCTTTGGCTTGCTATATTCTCTATCAGTTGCTATCAATCCTTATCACCAATCACTTACAACCCTTCTACGGTCCCTTCACATCCCAAAGTACTTATTAAAGTCCCTCTATCCCGTCAAAGTTTGAAGGGGGAACAGGAGTTAGTAATTTTCTGACAAAAACACACACCACACAAACACGCAGACAAACCAACAGTTGCAATGCGGATTGTATTAGGCTGGCAAGAAAGACCTGCAACACAAATTTATTTTATTCATTGAACTATAAAATCTTCTGAACATATCAAATATCAACAGAGATCAATAACCTTTTTCCATGTTTTGCGCAAATCACTCATTCCCTGTGCCCAGAAGCCAGGAGACCGTGACTCAAGTCATTTACTGCTAATTTCAGACACTGTAAAATTTAAACCCTCTTCCTAACAAGTGGTGCTTGAGTGGCTGGAACAAGTAGTAATAGAAAGGTGCAAGTTCCGGGGAGTACGGTGGGTGAGCAACTTTATGCCAGCCAAGCTCAGCGAATTTTCGACGAGTCTCACATGCGACATGTGGACGCGCGTTGTCATGCTGTAGTTCACTTTTGTTCGTCTTGGACGTTTTTCTCGGATAGCATCGGCCAAGTGCGGAGCTGATAAACGGCAGCTGTGACAGCATCGCTAGCGGTCAGTGACTGGTAGTAAAGAAAATCCGTCATATCCCACCAAACTGAAAGTAGATGTTTGCGCTGTTGAGGGTTCGGCTTTGGTGGCTCGACGCTTCGAGGGAACCAAACTGCAGCGTGTTTACTGTAATGATAGCCAGGGCGAAGATCTGTTTGAATGTATTAAGCACAATCATTACATGAGTGTAAAGGGAAACGCGCAAGAGCTCCGGCTCGAATGTAATGATAGAATTTCCAGCTTGCCGGTTACCAGATCCGCAGAAAAGTCCTCGCGATTCAGCTGAAAAAGCAGATTTGCACATGTTAACATGGGCCTGCTTCTGGGTATCCGCCAGTCAGCTTTGGATCCAGTATGTACTTTCCGATAACCGTGAACGTCCAGAAAGGTTTGAATTGTGGAATGCGAGCATCCAAGTACCGTTGCCAACTCGACGTAGTGGCCTCCGAGTTTGCTGTGAGCACGTAGTATTTCATTATCATCGATGCTTCGTGCTCTTCCACTGCGTACCTTATCTTCAAGGGTTATCTTCAAGTGAACCGAATGTGCCAACGACTGACCGTCGAGCGGTGAACAGTGCTTTCACCCGATGTGTTGTTTATGCCATCAGTCGCTTCATGTGCGCTTTTCCCTTGGAAAGTCACTCGCAAAAGATAATGGTGCGAAGTTTGTGCTGAGAGATCATTTTCGATATAGTGCTGAAAGCTCTTGCGCGTACGCTGGATCCGCAAGCCTGGAACATTTAAAAATTTCTGTCGCAGGACTTTCCCTGCCAACCTAATATATCGTAAGATTGTGAGTGCATCTACTCTTCATTACTGTCGAAACGTATTTTCTGTATCGATCTGAATCAACAGCAAATGAGGAGTGTGGGAATTTGAACGTTCACTTTTTGTACGAGTTTTGTAAAGAAAAAACAGACACTACCCTAGCAGGTGGGGGTATCCAGCAATTTCGTGAACTCACTGAATGCAATGGGCGGCCGTGAGTATCCAGTACTCGTCGATGACCGTCGCGCCGCACATAAGACCCTCATCCAAGCTATCGTAGAATACAACAGCTGCTTGCCAAGGGAATTCTCTAAAAAAAATAAAGGCTCTTTTCCCAACCTCAGAAACACATGCAAAAACGGAAATCTTGAAAACGAGGTTGATAAAGGTCGTGAGAGCTTGCGTCTGTACACCTTTTTCTTTGAACGTTGAAGGCTTTAGAAAAGGAGTGAAATATACTCATGATTGAAGCAAAATGGTGGACTCACTCTGAAGAAGTTGCTGAGCCTCCGATCACTCTTAATAGAGGCTTACTTTTGGAATCGTCACAGAATGTCAAACTGCTGACAAGCTGAAATCTGAACAGCAGAACGGCCAAAAGCATCGTTAAACAGCAGTCGTCCGTCCACTGATAAGATATGAGTGGAAATATGCCCTCTCATGAGTGAAAGACGTGATCATATTGAGTTATGGGAGTTCGTATGATCAGATTGAAATAAATACTTTTTCAAGGCAACTCTTGCGCTACAAACCTTATGTTCCTGTCAATTATTCTTGGTATTAAGCATCTTGATGTGTTAAGGTATAGATGAACACCAGCCCTACATGAGATCCTCTGTGCGAGACCACTTGTTTCTTTCGGTCCTCAAACGGTCTTTGTCTTGGAATTCTTTAACACGAGATTTTTCGAGGTGTCTGTCATGTTCGAATGATACTGAGGATTCAGACTTTTCTCAAACTCTTTCAGGAAACTATCCTTTCTGTCAAGTCCATGACAGAATCAACTCGCTCGAGAGGCTTTGTCTTGCTTTTTCGTACTTATATCCTATAGTTGCCCCCAAACTTTTTGGTCAGGGCCTTTAGTCACTTCTCATCGTGATTTGAAAACTATGCCGAAATTTGGAATAACGTGCCCCAGTGCAAAGGCTGTGACGCTGCCGCTTGCACGCTTTAATGTCCCAGCTGGGTATCAAGTTCCTATGAGTTTGTGGGATTCAAAGCTATAAGTTATGGACATTCTCTACACCGTCCATGACCTCGTCTATCTGTGGACGTCCTTAGCGCTTTAGCAAAGATGTGATAAGTTCGGCAATGGGCGTGTTCAGCGTACCTGCGTTTTTACGCAGTTATGAAGTTTCTATGTAGACTGTTGGTTTTTATGCAGTTGGGTGCGTAAGAACGCCGGTACTCTGAATGCGCTCATTGGACTTCACAGGAGCGGTGGGACTCAACCATCTAAATGCATACTGAAAACTGCGTTTGCTGTGTCAAGTTCGTCTTTTTCTAGGTGAGCAATTCACTTCAAGTCATGGATGAATCCCGTAGTCGCATGCTTCTCGACCGAAGTAGTCTCACCAGTCTGTAGCCTATATGCTGATTGATTTCAACTAAGCTTTATAAGGAAGGAACACCGCGATGGGCAGTTTTCTTTCTTTCTTTTCGCACGAGGTAATCATTTCATTCATCCAGATGTTCCTACCCTACCTAGGCTTAATTAACCCCCCCCCCCGGACTAAATTTTCATCACAGTTTTGTTTTGAACATAGTGCAGAAATGTGCAAGTGTCTAATACATGAAATGATCACCGTTGCTCGGTGATGTCGCCTCTTCCACAAGGGGTACGGTACATTCGTGCGATTCCGACTGCGTGCGGCAAATTGCGCTGCGAAATTCATAACGATTTTGACGACTTTAGGTCCCATTATTGGAGCCCAAATTCCAAATAGAGTAGATTAGAGTGTCAGCTGATTCTACTTAACTATTCTATTTCAAGTTTGTGCTCTTATAGTAGGCCCCAGAGTCGTTCGAATCGCCACGAATTTCGCCGCGCAATTTGCCGCGCGCGGCTGGAATCGCACGAATGTACACACACCCCTTCCACAAGGGCTTCGCAATCTCTTTCAGCATTAATAATTATACATGGTTGTGAAGATCTCGTCCGTTGAAAAGTGAAAGGTTTCTCAACAAATCTCCCTGTCTTCAATATGTCAGGTTGATCGTAAGCTGGATCGATAGAGGAGGAAAGCCCGATCCCGTTCTAACGGTCGACTTTCCAGTGGGTCCTTCTATCCTGTTAGTGGTCCAAAAGAGCATGCAGTTCAGGGAACTGCTGGAAAAGGTTCAGGCCAAATGCACTACGCGACTACGGGAACTGAAAGCTCACATCGGTCGTAAGCGTTGGCCACATTCACCCCGGGCCGAGCTGGAGTAGTACGACCGGCCATTGGTTCCCCGAGCCAGTACAGCTTTCACCTCGCTCATGATGTCGAGTAGTGGATGGTGATGGAGCGTAACTCCGACTTCAGGCCGGTTCATTTTTGAAGTATTTATTCAAAAAAAGTCTTGGGATTTAGATCAACAAAGTGAACCATCGCTGATTGCAAATACGAATAAAGACGAAGCAAAATTTCAATAGAAGTTTAAGAGCTTGTCGAATTTTTTTTCATGGAGAGAAATGCAAGTGCTTTAACGCTGTGCATGTGAAAAAAGCCTATTCCAAGGGGAGATCTTTTATTCAAGAACAGCAACAGGAATCAACTGAAGATTGAATGAAGCGTCGCAGTTGTTCCAGGATTTCAGCATTTCCCCAAAATCGTCCTTTTATTGTGTAACTTTTGCGCATATCCAGATGTGCTAGTTTCATTGAACCTCAAGAATCGCATATTGGTTAGCAATCAGAAGAAAATCGTCTGTTCTCGCTATTTCAGAGTTCAAGTGCGATATTACTGTATTATGATAGAATATTTCAATTTCGGCATCGTCACTCGGCTGCTTAAAGCAGTGTTGAAGGATCGATGATATTTATGTTTGTGCAATGCAAAATGAATGAGATGAGTAAATTAATCTGCGGCCTCATTTGCAGCGAGCGGTTACTGTTGCTGTTGATCTTTTAAAGCGAACGTCCGCATTTCTTACCATGTAAGTTGGTTGAGTTTCTGTTTATACGTTCTATCTCTATAAATTTTTATTTAGAGTCCCACCCGAATCAACAAGATTGGCCCATTGTTATTGTTATCTCCATTGTGATATCGTCCACGAACAAAGGCGATGCTTATCTGCCGTTTCCGAGACGTCAATTCATCACACTGATTTTTTTCTTGGCGTGCAATGGCCGGTGGACACCATCAGTCGAATGTAGTCACTCATCGAAGAAACAACCATCCGGTATGTTGAATAATTGGAAAGTCAAGCTACAATAATCAATTTGTGTGGTCCATTAAACAGGGTTATTTTAGTTTTTCGTCACTAATAAAAAACACTGTTACGAATTAAAGTGCTTTTATGAAGCAATGTTCCGAACAATTTAAGCTCAACTTTCCAGGCATCTTCGACCATTTCGGATTTTTCACCTAAACCCCGTTTTTATCGAACCTAGAATGGGCTTGATCTTTCTTCACACCATCACGCAACTTTAGCTCACTTGTAGAATCAGTTTAACTGCTGTTAACCTCCTTCTAGGGGTTTTTATCTAGTTGTAAATGCGTGTTTGAACAACTACTTGATGCTCTCACATTATACTCTGGTCAGCTAACTATCAGTTTGGGCTATAGCTTCATAAATGAATAATTTTTAGCACATCTGTCATCTTATGTTATCGCCGACAAAGCTGCTCATAAACCCCAATAGTCAAGTTCATACTATACTGCTGGCGCAGTTATACTCTTCTTGAAAATGTGTGGTAAAAATGTAGCTGAAGGAATGAGGCACCTCTTTTCCGACACTGAACGCTACAGCGCAGAGAAGGAATAAACGGATCGCAAGCTCATATTGAAGCCCAGGAAAACTTCTTAGCTAAGAAATATAAGTCTTTGAACTAGGCCTCAGTGGGAAGGGAGTACCACGGTGAGTGATTCGAACAACTGTCCAATTCATAAAGGCACAGTTCATGGTAAAAATGGTTACTGAGTTCTGCCCTTAGGAATACCCATTGGCCCCCAAGGGTATAGGAAGGACCCTCTCGCGCTCAAAATTTCGACGGTTAGGGCATAGCGGAAGTCTCGTTCCCGGCTCGCGCGGCCTTCCCGCCCCTCGATCGATGTCACGTCAGACGAGTGTCGAGGCGATACGGATTGCAAGTATTCACGTCAGGACCCACACACAATCAGCTGTTCGCCGAGTGACGAGGCGATATTTTTCTCTCATTTTTTTCTGTATATTTCTTTTTCCTGCTGCGATCCCTTACTTAATTTTTTTTTACTCCGAGAGGCTGAAGAAGGCGGGCCATTTTTGCTATCACTAGGGTTTTCTTTGTTAGGGTATGCTTATGAGTAAATAATTTTTGCTTACCCTAGTCAGTTATTCGCACCAGGACCCACATGCACGCAGTGAGACTTATTGTATAGCTTGTCCAAACGCCCCACTCTCCTTCATTCTTCTAATCTCACTCTCGGCCGATCCCCTCCTTAACGATTTTTCGAAGCCTTTTTCACTTTGGAAACACCGATTCACGCAGTTTCTTCACCCTTTATCGCACTATTTTCGATCTTGTCCTCCATTTTCCATCATTATCTGTATTACCCAAAATTACCGTGAACTGTGTCTTCAAATGATGCAGCTTTTTGCATGACGAAATCATCTTACTTATCTCTATCCATCCCTGTGCTCCTCCACCATTAAAGTTTAGGTGAAAACTATCTTCCCTCCTTCTCTGCGCTGTAGCGCTCAGCGTTGGAAAAGAGTGGTGCCCATTCCCCAACAATATTTTTACCAAACATACTCCTGAAAATAAAAATGAGTACTCAGTAGAACAGATGCAATTGTCGTTACGACTAGATGGCGTTTTGGCCGATGTAGTGCTAGTAGGACACAGATTAGCAACGTGTTAGTTTCTTGTTGTACTAACAATTATGTGCGGCCCCAACTACATTTTTACTTGATTCCGAAAGTTATTCACATGCATTTGACTAGGGTTGTGGGGTTGACATTGTAGCGCGAGCACACGTCCGAGCCAGGACCCATAGCCGGGTTACTATTAGGCTGATGGTCTACAGACTACTTGACTCGGTTCTTTGAAATGTGTCGGCTGCTCCCATTTTTCTGCCCACGTCTGCTGCAGGGGGGACGGTCACCTCGTGCGTCCTAGGACTCGCGCGGTGAAGTTTGTGACGATTCGACTCTGACGCCAGTTTCCGGGGCACAAACTTGCAGTAGAGTAGTTTAGTAGGGTTAGATAATCCTAATCTACTCTACTTCAAATTTGGGCCCCAATGATTGGCGCTAAAGTAGTTCTTATCTTTACGAACATCGTCGCGCAAATTTTCGCGCGCATCCTTGGACGCACGAGGTGACACATACCCCGTGCTGCACCCCGGTTAAATAAAGTTTTTGTCTGTTGTTCTTGTCTGACTGATGAGACACCTACCACCCTCTTCCCCTCCATGTGCCTCGCCTAAGGTAATTCTCTCTGCGATCTAACCTTTCGCCGTCAGTGAACGCAGAGGAAGTTTGAGTAGTCACGTAACCGTGTCCGCGTAGTTTCTGTTTCTAGGGTATGGGTGTGTGCCGATTCGTGCGATTCTGGGTGCGCCCGGCAAATTGCGCGGCGGAATTTGTGATGTTTCGAACGACTCTGCAGCCTATTATTGGGGCACAAACTTGAAGTAGAATAGTTGGGTATGGTCAGCTGACCCTACTAAGCTACTCTACTTCAAGTTTGTACTCCAATAGTACAAACTCGATCGAATTATCACGAATTCCGCCGCGCAATTTGCCGCGCGCACCCAGAATCGCACGAACCGTACGTCCCCCCTAGGGTATGGGTACATTAGTGCGTCCGCAGTTGCACGCGGCGCAGTTCGCGACGATTCGAACGATTCTGCCGCCTATCATTGGGTGCTTTCTGACTTCAATAACGCAACCGACGACCGGCCGACCGACGACGGTGACACTGGCCAGGTGTTGACAATGCAGTACACCGTTGGGTCACCGGCCTTGACCGCAATCTGTCCAGCATTGTCAGCACGTGTCCATGCTCCGCAGCCGTCGGTCGGTCGTTGAACCCTGAAAGCAGCCATTGGATCACAGGATTGGAGTAGAGTCAAGTTTATGCCCCAATAATAGGCGCCAGAGTCTCTCCAATCGCCACGGATCTCGTCGCGCAATTTACCGCGTGCATCTCTGCACGCCAATGTTCCACGCCCTCGTTTCTGTGTTGTTCAGGTACTTCAAGGGATATGTCCTAAAATCAGATTACAACTTAATTTTTGCAGTGAAAATGTGGCTAGGGGATGGACAGCGCCTTCCTGAATCATTGAAGGCTAAAATGCAGAGAAGGAGGGGTGGCCAACCTCACTTGTGCTTAGAGATGCTTACCTAAGTTCAGGAAGCGAAAGAGCTCCGGGGGTGGGTGATGATTATCTCATGCAAAAAGCTGAGGTGAGATACGAATTGAACGTACTATTGGCTCACCCCCATTTGGGTCACTCACCCCGGGGCTCCTTCTTCTCAGGCTTAATTAAGAAAAAACATTTATAACAAAAATGGTTATGGAAGCTCCCGAGCACCATTATGGGCTCGCGAAGTCGACTACTCCTCCATCTCTGCGCTCTAGCCGTCAACGATTCAAAAGAGCGCATCCTGCCCCCCTCCCCCCAACACTACACTTCCACCGTTTTTGCACTCAAGATATTCAAATGATAGCATCGTTCCGCTCAGAAAATCGTTTTGCGAATTTTGGGAGCAGATTCGAGGTTACTATGTAGGGTCCTATCGCACACGTACTACAAAACTTCGTAAAATGATACTATTCTTGGAAGAAAATCCACTGAGCTGAACCTTCTTGCTCATTGATCCCGATTTCAGGAGTATTCGACCACGTCAATAGTGGGTTCGAATGAATCCTTCAAGAATGTAGCTGGCAAGAAACTCTCTAGGAAGTGTCGCAAAACTCCAATGAGCGGCTCGTGCGCTGTGAGTATTCTGCTTAACAGTGAACTCTCTTGTATACCTAGATACCAGTAGCCCATAAAAAAATCCTAGATACTGTGTCATCTCACACCTATCGCCTTTTGTTGATATCCACAAATTTCTTTACTATCCAGACTTCATCATGGTGAAATGAGGTGGCATGTGGTAAGTTGATTTCCACACATCAATCAGGGCGCATAAAAAGAAATCTCACTCAAAATTGGCCCGGGCGCTTGCGCTCCGTTTTGCTTCACGAACATGAACTGGAATCAGATCTAGTAGGACGGTTGTTAGAATCGCAGTTGGTTTTGAATCGGACACTTTTGGTCTAGAAGTGATTGGATCATCCGCTTCAAACGATGTAACGATGCGAACGAAGTAACTTCACACTGAGTGTTCCCACACTTTTCATGAAAGGATATTGCATATAGACGTGAACATTCACGATCCTAGTACCGCGTGCTTTGACCGATCGCGACCGTCACTTGACTAAGGGTTTCTCCTTAACCAGATGTAGAATCTTTGCTTTTAACATCACCGAAAGTGTTTTTTTTTTTGTTCGTCTGGGGAGAATAAATGTGGCGCGTTGATTGCTGCTTTGCGACCAGTACTCAAGTGCTCAATTCAATCTCCATAGCCGTGATATCAGGCTCTGATTTCGTGGGTTTAGGAGGATAGGTTGTTCTGGTAATGGCTCAAGGGATGCGCTTTAAGTTTTCTCGTGACACCTTTATCAACGATACTGCCTGACTTCACATCGCAGAGTTGGCTTGTTCATTCTAGAGCTATGGGTTGAGCAGCATTACCACATCCACGGTGTACATACACAGGGCGACCAATTCTTCTGCGACCCAAGAATGCCTGAGGGAGAAAAACTGAGTTTTCAAGACTGCAGGAAGCTTGAAATCTATCAGAGTTCCTTGATCGCCAGTATCATTGCTGGGCCTGAGGCATCATAGCATCGCCTCGGAAATAGATGCGCATCACTGATAGCGATGATTATGTCGTTGGTTCACTTTTTCATTGACTACACAAAATCTGAATAAATGTAAGCGTCGAATTATGGTTAGGAGTAAAGAGACAACTTGTCATTGCTTCGAATGCAGCCTCGAAACTAGCCTAAGCTGGTTTAGTTTCAGGTTTGTGGAAGTCCTAGGAGCAGTGTTCACTTCGGGGTCATTTCGTGCGCTGCCTGCTCTGCGTTTTTTCGTCGCACCGTCTCTGAGAATCGAAAATATTCATGTCGACGCAGTTCCGAGGGAGGCTTCAATTGCCCCATTGATCAACGTTAGTTCCATTCGTACATGGATAAAACCGTTTTCTTTATATTCGTGCAGTTAAGAACATCGTTGCTACTGCCGATCTTGCCGATTTCAAAAATGTTTGTTAATGGGTATGAATCCAGAAAGTAAGTTTAGAGATTTTTCCGCATCATCAATCAAATTGCAAGTTTTTATTTAACCTTTTGACTCGGATGCATATGAAACTAATATTGAAACACAATCTGCCAAACAAGAAAGGCACTATTCATAACACTTGCTTTGGATGATGCATTGTCTTTCGTTTGATGTAGGTTAGAGGGGTGCTAGTTCTAATGAAAGATCACCTTTCAATTTGATATATATCCAAGTTTTCAGTGCATACAACTGAGGTTGGGAATGAACAATGAAACAGGGTGGAATATGGAAAGGTTGATACGAATGCAGAGGAAATTTCCTCAAATTACACATGTGTAATTAACTGCAGACGAAGAGCAGAAGCTTATTTAAATGCAATTAGTGCATGAAGTTGCTCAATCTCAAGTCTGGATATTTTAAAGTTCTTCGTTAGAAGGAAGACTGAAAAAACTTGCCCATCCTGCCATGCAAGTAATCGCGCTGCTCTGTTCCAGGTGTTCAGCTGTATAGAGATACTTATGGATCTAAAGGTGTGAGTCCGTCTCAAAATGAACGTTGTCTTGATCAGCAAGGAACTGTTCATGGTCTAGCTGAAGAAACAATTTTTTCGGCAGAATCACCTCCGCTAATGTTGAAGTACGTGATATCACGTAGAGAAGTCCTAAGAATAATGAAATCGCTTTCCAGGGAAAATATTATTCACATGAATTTGCTATGTAACTGTTTGGATTCCTGAAGACTGTCAGTATAGCTACCTCTTGGAATTTTGCTTTTTCAGATCTTATGTTGCTGAGCAAATGTCTGTACTCCCTCATCCGTCATCATGCTTCGAGCGAAGACTTGGAGGTGCATGTTTACATCTCCTAGGTAGTTCTAATGCCTACAAGGTCTGGGTTTCTTTTCTGACCACTGAAATTCATTCTCGTTTCGCTTGTTTTCCCATCTTTTGAAAAATGGTGAACGGTGTTTGTGCACCGCATGCTTCTTAATTGGATAAAGGAGGGTAGCATTGTTACGTATCTGTAGGAGAAATCAGAGAAGAGGCTCATCTCGTTCTCGATTCAACTCTGATGGTATCCACGAAACTGAGGATGATATAGGGTGAATCAGGGTTTGCTTTTAACCAAATTACGCAGTTTGTGCTCTTCAACCTTACAACAACAAGAACTTTTGTTTCATTCTTGATTCTCTGGGATGTGCTTGAGTACCCACTA